TTTGTTATATTTTCGGTGTTATATAAAAAAAAATGGATAATTTTTATATAAAATAGTATAAGCCTGCTAATTAAAAAATCTGTTATTTTGAGTTAATTAAATTATAATAATTAAATAGATAATTTATGCATAATTTATTTATTTACTCTTTTGTCAGCCAAAATGCATGTTTGTAGTTATTGAAAGACTTGATTATTATTATTATTTTTTTTTTGATAAATTAAAAGGGAAACAAAAAAAAATACTTTTTATTTTTTATTTTATTTTTAAACTACTTTGCTAAAATGTTGACTGGCTGGGTTTGACTATTGTTGGTAACAACTGAAACATTTTATGAGATTATTACTTGTCTTTCTGCCATGCTTTATTATACAGTATATATTATATGAATATTTCTAAGAATTTTTGCCACACTGTAAACAAATATTGTTGGTTTAACTTAAAAAAATAAGTAACCTGATTGCCTTAAAATTTTAAGTTCATTGAAATGGAAAAATTGTGTTAATACAATGAAGGAGATTAATTTAACCACCAGAAATTCAAAATATTATGTTATCTGAACTACATTAATCACCTAAGTTGATTTGACAAAAGAAAAAATGTTGTGATTACAAATAATGAAAATATTTTTTTTTTTACAGTGAGTATTGGCGATTTAGTAAAAGTCTTTACTTAAATTTTATGCCTGTAATGCTCTTTTGAGAAAACATGAAATGATTCATCTCTCTCTCTCTCTCTCTCTCTCTCTCTCTCTCTCTCTCTCTCTCTCTCTCTCTCTCTCTCTCTCTCTCTCTCTCTCTCTCTCTCTCAGCTCAACATTTCCTCTCTTAAAAAAAATTAAAAAAAACATCTTAGAGCTCTGTTAGTAAGCCAAACCGACTAACTGCTTCGGCAATATGCAATATTCACAATCTCCTGTTTGTCATGATCCAGTTCCCCTAGCTGTTGAAGTCCTTGAACGTTATTTTTCCATTTGGAGATTTGTTATTACGTGAGGGTCTAGAAGGAATCGAGCCTTGATGGACAGCCCTCCGGGTTATTTAGTTGTCCTGATCCCACAGACCCCTTTCCTTTAAAGCCCAATGTCCAGATGAACTCTTCTGTGTGCTGAGAATAATAATGTCCTCGCCAAAATCCAGAGCCCTTGTGTGTCCCTGTGGAGACCACCTTAATAATCTCATTATCAATTTAATGAGGTGATTAGAATGCCGAGGGCAAGCGGAGCAGGAGTGGGTGCATTACCGAGAAACTTTCGTTTGAGGAACCGAAGGTTATTTTGTTTGTCAATTTATTCATTTTTATCCGTCTTTTTTCTCACCCGCCACCACCTCGTGTCTACGGTGGGTGTTAGGATGCTTTCCTTGACTGGTTAGCTGGTTCCCTGCCTCCCATCCTGCGACACAGGAAATGGGAAGAAAAGAAAGTGTGAGGATTCACAGGCTGAAGTTGCTATGGCAACAAGTCAGAGCAGCAAGCACATTTTTATTTTATTTATTTATTTATTTTTTGCTGCTGGAGATTCCTTAAGCACCACACTAGGGACCGGCTAAGCAGATTCAAATCAGGCACATTAGCATGTTGAAGCGACTTTGCCTTGAAAATATCTAACAAGTGGGTGTTTTTGTTTCACATGGTTCCTTTTCAAGAGCTCTCCATAAAGCACACCTTGTTTTCAGTGGAGGAAAACTTTCCTCCATGATGTGCCAAAAGGGCCCTTTAAGGTTTTTATTTATTTATTTATTTATTTTTTTTTACATTTATTCATTTAGCTGACACTTTTATCCAAAGCGACTTACAATTTCTATATGTATGTCAGAGGTTGCACGCCTCTAGAGAAACTAGGGGTTAAGTGTCTTGCTCAGGGACACAGTGGTGTCTCACAGTGGATTCGATGGATAAGGTCATGTGTCTTATCCATTGCACCATCACCATTTTTCCCCCTCCATGTCATGACTTTTTGCTGCAAAAATGTGCAGAACCATTAACACACAGAATAGCTTGCTGCAGAATAAAAACTAGTTCATTTTAGAATATCTAATATAATTTCTATATTCTAGGCTAAATGTACTACTTAATAGACAGCTGCTATTTAGCACTTGGCTACTCTCCTTTTAAAAGTCATTTTGGTAAACCATTTGGTAAAAAAAAAATCTTTTCTAACAATTTTGACATCATAATCATGATATTCAATAAATGTTTTTAGCATTTGAACATCCACTTTTAAATATTGTATTCACATTTTATTTATTTTTTTTTCATTTTATTGACAAAAAATATGATCAATAATTTGTTTTTTGCTACAAGCAGTTTCAATATAATAAGTTATACAACATTAAATGACAGTAATCCAGGTTGATTGTACTTTTATGAAATATTACTACCGTTTGGAAATTTAATATTTTTTAATAGATTTTCTTATGGTGGCAAAGTGATTATTAAATGAATGAATGAACAGTTGTGTTGCTTAATATTTTTGTGAAAACCTCAATACATAATGAAAGAAGAGCTCTTATCATCAAAAAAAATAAATAAATAAAAAATCTTTGTAATTGTCACAAGTGTAAAAGTCTCACCTATCACTTAAAAAAAATCCAAATCTTTGCATGTATGTGTGTACATAGATATATAGGTTGAAAGGGCTCGACTTCGATTGTTCTATGAACACTTGTTCTAGTTCGCTGTAATGATTTTTTGTTTTGCTGTCAGTAGATGCTGAAAAAAAATGCAGGTGAAGGGACGGGTCAGGGACGGGTAGCCTCGCGCTCCGGTCCCCTGGGCAGCACTGGGGCGAAAGGATGGATCTGGATGCATTGATTATCTGTCAGCTGTTCCTGATAGGATCTTAGCGGGCCAGTGTTTGGGGTATTAAGTGATCTGAAGTATTCAATAAATATTGATAATGAAGGCCTGTTAGTGAGGCTCCAGGGTTTTAGTTTCAACCCCAGGAGAGGTATTGCTAGCTGCCGTCCCACAATGTGTTGTGCATGTAAGTATGCAGGAGGAAAGATCCAAGAGCTGAGCTGATGTTTTCTTTGCATTTAAAGGGATGTTCACCCAAAATATGCAAATGAATATGTGCTGTTGGGTTGACTTATGAAAAGTTGACTTAATCCATACGACCCCAGATAATGATTGGTGTGTTCTTGCTCTGAGTGGGTCGAGCAGGACCGGTTGCATTTGGTGCCGTGACCCGTCCTTGTTAGCGCGCGTGCCTCCCACGCCGGTGACCCGAGCTTGGAGCTAGTCAAGTAGGACCGGTTACATTAGCATACCATTAATTTCCATGCCACCCTACTGTATAAGTTACTAGACTTGACGCAAACATCATTTAAGCCCTGTTTACACCTGGTTTTAAGATGATCGGATCACAAGTAGATGAGGGAGACGCATACCGGTTTACACCTGGTGTTTTAATCTGTCTCTTATGAGGGAAGGAAGGAAGGAAGGAATTTATATAGCGCTTTCATATGTACTACTGTACACCCAAAGCGCTAACAGGGGATATGACTTTTGTCCACTTTCAACCAATTCTGTCCTGATTTCTTCAAGGGAAGGGTTTATGAGGGTTATATTAAGGGTTTATCAATGCTTTTTTTTCTCATTTGAGATTATTAGCAAAGGTGAAACCATTTCTGACCATGCGTGATCTCGAAAAACTCATTCATGCTTTTATATTTTCAAGACTAGACTATTGTAACTCGCTATTCGTCGGCATAAATAAATCATTGATTAATTGCTTACAATTGGTCCAAAATGCAGCTGCGAGACTCTTGACGGGTACTCATAAGAGAGACCATATCACCCCAGTTTTGAGAACTTTAAATTGGCTACCGATCGACCACGGACTACATTTTTAAAATTTTATGTTTTGTCTATAAATCATTGCATGGTATGGACCCACTGTATTTAGCCAATCTGATTAAGAAATATGAACCAAAACGGTCTTTAAGGTCAGCTAACCAGCTGGTTTTGACGACTTGTAGAACCAAACGGAGAAGCGGAGATCAAGCTTTTGCAGGGATTGCCCCAAAACTCTGGAATGACCTTCCCAGTTCTGTCAGATTAGAACCTATATTAACTGTCTTTAAACAAAAGCTAAAGGAATATCTTCTAGATTTAGATTTTAACAAGGTATAGTAGCCTTTTTTTATGGGGTTTCTAGTTGAGCCGTTTATTTTATTGTTCTTAACTGTGATGTAAACGTCTGTGTGGTTTTGTGCGGTTGTTTTGTCTCCGTTCTTGTACGGCACTTTGTTCAACGACCAGTTGTGTAAAAGTGCTTAATAAATAACAAATGAAATAGCAAATGAAATGAAATACACATTTCGTTCTAATTGACAAATAAGTTTGCGCAATTTACATATGAACGTAGCAGGAAAAGACGAAAAAACATACGAAGAGCACAGCTTTGGTTTCAGGAATGGCGAGAGAACATTATGCTTGGTACGTTTTTCTTTTTCAAACCAACCACTACGAAAGCAATCCGGTCTAATGCATTTTCGACTACCTCTGGAAGTGATCGAAAGTGGACAAGCTCAAAACGTTTTAGACCCCGTTTACACCTGTATTTAGTGTCATCCACTTGTGATCCGATTGACCAACACTTAATATCAGTTGTGAACAGTTTCTTAGAGACCCTCCCTACTGTTTTCGAGTTAATGCTTCTATCTCAGCCTCCCACATCTGAAAGCTCTGTTCTGAAAACAGGGCTTATTTGCTTCACAGTCATTTCGCATTGTATTGAGTTTAGTGGCTTTTAAGGCTCCAGGCCTCCTCCTCCTCGATTTAATTTGTTGACTTCAAAATGACCAAGTCTCCGTTTATTGAATTGCCAGGCTGCAAGGTACCGTATACTGTTGCACTTATTCTCTTAACTTTGGGCTGGTCGTCTCACTGCCGTTGTTTGACTTCCCTGTGTTTCCTTTATCGGCATACCGCAAATAGTCAGTATTAAACCGTTAAATTCTCTCTCTCTTTCTCTCTGTTTTCTCTCCCTGCAGAAACTTGTCCGGGAACCCTCTGACAACTCTCTCATGGCAACTCTTTCAGAATCTCCAACTTTTCGAGCTGTAAGTTAAATGTGTTCTTTCTTTCTTTATTCCCTCAAGCCAGGTCGTGAAAGCACATTAAGCCACTATCGCTCTGCAATATATTTGATCTTCGTACCTTTTATAATGTGCTAATTATTGTTGCTCATCAGTGTTTTGGCTTTGTGAGATTTGTCTGTTGGTTTCAAAGTTGAACGTCATCTCAGTGGAGCCATTTACACTGGCATATCTCATTGATTGAACAGATTGGGATCTGATTGGAAATGCACAATACATTTTACGCAAATTATGCAAATGATGTGATGTAAAGAACATTTACATGGTCTTTCCATGATCGGATTGTACTTGATTGGAACACTTGATATTCTACTGTTTTTTATTTGTTATCTAAAGGATATATTTAGGAAATATCAACAGGAATACTTCTAGAATTTTTAAGTGCACCAAAACAATTGTATCTTTTAAATATCTTTTATTAATTTAATAAGTGTTTTTTCCCCCATGAAAATAACATTAGATGGATGCTGACATGGCATAAAACGATTATAAAATAATTATAAAATGTAGAGTAGACTTTGTCTTTGGGCTATCCTCTATATTATAATTATTATAAAAGTTTAGCAGTTTTATTTGCCTTTTAGGTGAAATCAGTGTTAGCAAGTCGTTGGGCTTTTGTTTATAGCAAATCAAGTACCGGTAAATCAATTTCATAATTATAGTGGAGGTGTCATCTCAGTCCTGCCCAACAAGCAAACTCTAATCAGCTGAGTGCAAAGGGCTTTATCCATACAGGCATCTGTGTCTGTGTGTATTCGTGTGCGCATGACTAAATGTGATATTTTAAGCCAGGGAAGCAGGACAGCTCCTCTGAGGTGGCCCATCTTCTCTGCAGGGTTAGCACGTCCTTTGGAGATCCTCCAAGGAGAGGAGTACTTTTGGATTTCCTATGAGATATCGAACATGTGTTGTCCTTACAAGAAGGAAAGTGCTAACAAAAGCATGTTTAATTTCCCTTTATCTTGGAGGGTAACTATCCTAATTTAGCTACATATTCAAGAGACAGCCTTCTAGTTAGCATGTTTGGCTTGGCCCTTTAGGTCTAATGGGGTTTCCAGTAAACTATAGGTTAAATGTGTTCTTGTTTATTATTTAAATGTGCAGTTAACATCATATTATGGCATTTAGCTTCTTGGTTAATTAAAATTTTGCTGGGCAGAAGGAAATGACAAATTCCCTAACATTCACAGCTGCGCTTTGGACAAGTCATGTGATTAGACTGAGGGTAAATTAGTTTTGTGTGACATAACACAGGTCATATGGGTAATACCAGAGCCACGAAGCGATAATGGTTGTGAGACACCCTCTCCGAAAGGACAACACAACCATTTTACATATGTGCACTGTTATGTAATACTAGCACGAATGCCATATGCAAGTCTCTTGATGTTTTAATAATTTCTCGTTGGTTTTGTGTGTACTAATCCGTCCGTTAAAAATATCCATACAAGCATCAGAGTGAATTTTGGCACATTCAGAAAGCTGTCTAATGTATCTAGTATTTAGTATATATATATATATATATATATATGTATGTATGTTCTTTTTGTGCTCGTTTTGTACTAGTTTTAGTTGTAGTTGGTTATATTTATTTATATTTATTTTACAAGTTTCTATGTCTCAATTTATTGTATTGTTTCTATGTCATGTCGTTATGTGATGCTCATTTAACTGTAAAGCGACCTTGAGAACTTTGAAAGGCGCTATATAAAATAAACATATTATTATTATTATTATTACTTGATCTTTGTCGCATAATAAAAAATTAATTGGATTCAATTAGATAAAGACTTTTTACTTATGGTTTAGAAGTGTGCTATATAATACGATATAACAACTTAATATACATGCATTATTTTATTTTTTAGCATTTTTTCATATTTTAAAGAACAAATAGTGTAATTGGACAATGGCTGATTTCACTGAAGCTTAAAGCTATTGCACGCTATATCAAATAAGGAAAGCTAATCCTTTAATACCGCTTTTTTTCCTCTAAAATGGCTTGTTCTTTAAGCAATAAGTATGTCTGCCAGTGTGATTTCAACCATGGTTTTGGTATATGAAGTACATTCAGTGCTACTAAGTAGTCAGCACTACATATACAAAGGCCTGTATAACTAGCATAATGGTTTAAGCACATTAGCCTACTGCTTTACTTTTATTTGCAGTCTTGGAAGACTCTGATGCACCTGCCACAGTGCTGCCAAAATTTGAGACGCAGGCTATGGGAATCACATGTAATGTCTGCAGTCAGTGCCAGCACTGTCACTCTATAAGAACTGATGCGAACACCTCTAAAACGTCTTAGCGTGAATGTGAGTGTTTGTCCACACCTACGCTCAAGTGTACTCACACATATAATTGCTGTCAGTTTTTCTTCTTGACGGCCGGGAGGTGATGGGGCGTAGTGTATGTGTGGTTCAGGACCGAGGGTATAATCACTGCATATTGAAAACGACCCATGCAGATAAGCCAGCCTACAATGAAACTTATTTCTCACTGCAGTAGCATGTAGGAATTACCCATGCCACAAGAATGCAAGGTCAGAATTGTCATTTGTTTGGTCATTAATTGGTCTATAATGTAATTAATTTGTTTAGTTTTTTTAATCAATTGTGTGTGGTTGCTAAGGTGTTGCTAGGGTGTGCCAATTACCCATGCCACAAGTATGCAAGGTCAGAATTGTCATTTGTTTGGTCATTAATTGGTCTATTATGTAATTAATTTGTTTAGTTTTTTTCAATCAATTGTGTGTGGTTGCTAAGGTGTTGCTAGGGTGTGCCAATTACCCATGCCACAAGAATGCAAGGTCAGAATTGTCATTTGTTTGGTCATTAATTGGTCTATTATGTAATTAATTTGTTTAGTTTTTTTCAATCAATTGTGTGTGGTTGCTAAGGTGTTGCTAGGGTGTGCCAATTACCCATGCCACAAGAATGCAAGGTCAGAATTGTCATTTGTTTGGTCATTAATTGGTCTATTATGCAATTAATTTGTTTAGTTTTTTTCAATCAATTGGGTGTGGTTGCTAAGGTGTTGCTAGGGTGTGCCAATTACCCATGCCACAAGAATGCAAGGTCAGAATTGTCATTTGTTTGGTCATTAATTGGTCTATTATGTAATTAATTTGTTTAGTTTTTTTTTTATCAATTGTGTGTGGTTGCTAAGGTGTTGCTAGGGTGTGCCAATTACCCATGCCACAAGAATGCCAGGTCAGAATTGTCATTTGTTTGGTCATTAATTGGTCTATTATGTAATTAATTTGTTTAGTTTTTTTTTAATCAATTGTGTGTGGTTGCTAAGGTGTTGCTAGGGTGTGCCAATTACCCATGCCACAAGAATGCAAGGTCAGAATTGTCATTTTTTTGGTCATTAATTGGTCTATTATGTAATTAATTTGTTTAGTTTTTTTTAATCAATTGTGTGTGGTTGCTAAGGTGTTGCTAGGGTGTGCCAATTACCCATGCCACAAGAATGCAAGGTCAGAATTGTCATTTGTTTGGTCATTAATTGGTCTATTATGTAATTAACTTGTTAAGCTTTTTTTAATCAGTTGTGTGTGGTTGCTAAGGTGTTGCTAGGGTGTGCCAATTACCCATGCCACAAGAATGCAAGGTCAGAATTGTCATTTGTTTGGTCATTAATTGGTCTATTATGTAATTAACTTGTTAAGCTTTTTTTAATCAGTTGTGTGTGGTTGCTAAGGTGTTGCTAGGGTGTGCCAATTACCCATGCCACAAGAATGCAAGGTCAGAATTGTCATTTGTTTGGTCATTAATTGGTCTATTATGTAATTAACTTGTTAAGCTTTTTTTAATCAGTTGTGTGTGGTTGCTAAGGTGTTGCTAGGGTGTGCCAATTACCCATGCCACAAGAATGCAAGGTCAGAATTGTCATTTGTTTGGTCATTAATTGGTCTATTATGTAATTAATTTGTTTAGTTTTTTTTAATCAATTGTGTGTGTGTGTGGTTGCTAAGGTGTTGCTAGGGTGTGCCAATTACCCATGCCACAAGAATGCAAGGTCAGAATTGTCATTTTTTTGGTCATTAATTGGTCTATTATGTAATTAATTTGTTTAGGTTTTTTTAATCAATTGTGTGTGGTTGCTAAGGTGTTGCTAGGGTGTGCCAATTACCCATGCCACAAGAATGCCAGGTCAGAATTGTCATTTGTTTGGTCATTAATTGGTCTATTATGTAATTAATTTGTTTAGGTTTTTTTAATCAATTGTGTGTGGTAGCTAAGGTGTTGGTAGGGTGTTTTGAGTGGTTGTCAAGTGTGTACTTGCTAGTCCAAGTCAAAAGAGCCCCATCAAGTCTCCCAATCTTGTCTGTAGATCCCTCATAGTCTATGTAGTTTTTTTGTGTGTGTGTGTTTAATCATACGACAAACAAAAATTGTGTGATCACTAATAGTAAACCTCTAAATGCAACTAGGGGTAAGTTTACATGATGACAACGATGCTAAAAACGGAAAAGTGTATGATGCTACCAGGCCAGTAGTTAGTGATGTCACTTTATAAAGAAACGCTACTCACCTATAGAACACGTAATATGCATGTGCATGATGTCACATTTTTCACATTTAAAAAAAAAAAGTTTTTCATTTTCAAAAACTTGCACTTTCAATTTCTTTTCAAAAGTTTGCTTTTTCAGGCCTCCAAAACGCTGTTGTCGTGCAAATGAGCGGCCAAAGCTCATAAAAAGTTGACAGTTTTAGTTAAAAGCGGTGTCGTATAATAATTTATTAGCCAACTGCATGATTTGTATATTTCTGAGGCCCCGTCCACACTACTGCGTTTTCGTTTAAAAATGGGGAATTAAAACGAATACCATCTCCGTCCACACCAGCGTTTTATCTGCGTATTAGAATTGATCTCCGTCCACATTAAAACGACTGAAAACGTGAATCACGTGACCATTCACCAACACTGGGCATGCGCGTGCCGGTGTAAACAGTAAA